ATTGTTGAAATATTTTTGTGAAAACAAAATGAAATAAATTTTAGTCAATTTTGTAAAGCTTCAAAACAAGTATTTTATTTATTAGTCTCACATAACAATCATTATTATTAATAGCAATCATTTAAGAATAACTTTAAAAATACATTTTCATTTTGATGACAATAACAATCATATAGTTATTACAATTGTGGCGCTATTTCTCTGTTTAAGAGTTAGACAATGACTGACTAGTAGTTCAGTAGTTGTTTTGATTGATTCGTTCATTACTTGAAGCTTTAATTTTTCATAATAATGGGAATGGGATTTACAATACAGTACAGTATTGAACAACAATTTAATATATTTATTGCTTTTAAACAAAAATCAAAAATTAAACGTAAACTAACTTTAAAAGAGAAGGGAATAACAGAATAATAATAAGTTTAAGATACAGATAATAATAATAATCAAATACAACGGTTAAGTCTAAGATCCCATTCAAAGTCAACAATCATATTAGTAAAACTGATACAACTATTACAGTGTCTGTACAGTAGTTAAGACTGGAATTGATCTAAATTATCAGTATTAGAGGTAATGGGTATGGGTTTGAGAGGAATGTGGTTAGAATACTGTTTCAATAGATAGGATACCTTATAATTTGCTGGCAATCATAATATGATAATTATTTTTGATTTCTAAATATTATAGTTTTAAAACTAATAAAATTGTGTTGAATTTGAAGGGAATATCATAAGTGGAATAAAGTGACAAAAAAAATATAATTTTAGTTAAACATCTAATGGTAACATGGATTTAATATTGATAGACAGTACATTGAGTACAGCACAATATATTGAATACATGGATAATATATAGATTTGGATAATAATAGTAATATTAATAATAATAGTAATAATAAGGAAATAAAGAGCTTTTAGAAGATCTGAATCATCTGATCATAACATCACTAAAGACCCCGAAATTGATTTATAATTCATTTGTTGAATAGTTGATGAAATACTCATCGGTTGGTATAGAATATATTGTATATATATTTACTTTATATCTCTCCCCACTTGTAATTGCATTGGATTTGATTTGTTTGAATTAGTTAATGTCTAATTGTGTGTATTTATGATGTAATTTGTGTTAAAAGATTCAATTGTTGTTTAACTTATAATTGAGATGTTGTGCGCAAACAGTTATTAATGTTATTCAATGTATAAAATCTCTAACATTTCAATTATTTGATATATCAATGGTATTATTATACAATCGCTTGTTATTACAGTATATCTAATATTTGTTTGTTTTTAGTTTCTCTTATATCACAGCCTTATAGTTATAATTATATTGATTTCTCGTAATAATTGTTATAAATATTGAATATATTGTTTGTAAAATAGCTTTCAATCGATTGAAGTCGATATACATATGAATGATTGAATGGTTTGACACTTGTCTCCGAGTCAAACATTACTTTAAAATATTATCCATAAAAATAACATTTCTTTACTTTTTGTTTATTTGAACGCTATTTCAATGATTAGTGTTTGGGATCGTAAGACACGCCCTGAGATTCATAGAAATTAATTCATTTAACATTTCCTAAAGTGATAACTCTTTACATTTGGTTCCCTTTAAACTGAGTATAACTTAACAATTATTATAATTACAATTTAGGAATGTATTCAATACTTAAAGCAAAGACAGGCTATAGATAATAAACTATAGAAAGTGCCCCCAAATTGTCGCAAATTGAAAAATATATCAAATTTGACTGATATTTGTTTGAAAACTTATATAATTATCTCATGAATGGCACTGAAATTATGTGAATAACAATCAACTGATGAAAATTGGAATAACAACTGATAATATATAAGATATAATAATATTAATATAAAATTGCATTCATACTCTGCCTTGTAATCATAAATTGATATTAAAATAAATTGATAATAGAATTGAATTGTATTCATATAATAATTATAATATATTCATATATGGCATCAATAGATCATAGATCATAGCCTCAGAGCTTTGGCTTTGGGCTCAAATGGTTGTGTTATTAACATATGATATCATAATTAGGAAATTCGTGACAATTATTTCGTTACTAATCGGCTGTAAATGAATTGATGGAAATAAATGAAGCAATTCTTCAAAGTTGTGGACATATTATCACAGAATCGTTACAAATGGTTGGTTCGCAATATAATTAACTCTTTTCTAACTTATTTGCATGTTTTCTAACAAAACTTATACACAATTATAATTGATTTTTACGTTTAGATCTCATACGCGTCTAAACACATGTGACATTCATTTGAATGGATTTCTAAATAGATATATAATTATTATCAATATATTTATAATTATTAATTATTGGATCGTATGGATAGTGAGGGAGATTTAGATATCACTTGAGAGCACACGTTTCATATGTTATAGAAAATATTTGATACAATGTTTGTCTGCCTCACAATGTATTGTAATTATTGACTACATCTTCGATCACAGTTCAGTTCAATAGGCAATGGTTTCAATTGAGATAATTATCATTATTTATACATATATTCCTAATTGAGAATCAATCGCCTCAAGTGTGCGCTCATTACACATATGGGCCTATCATTCAGTTCACAGTCTATGCTATTAACTGATGGAAGACAACACCAACGGAACAACCCTTTACCCAAACAGTCACTAATTAATGCTTAAATCAACCACCGATTCAATGCTTAGCTCAAGTCATTGCACAGATAGTGTACACATGTGTTACACAACTTGACATTTATAACACTCCTCTGTTTCTACATTTGTTTCATTGAATATGATTTGAGCTAAACATTCAATCAATGGGTTGTTTTAAAAACAAATATAAACGAAACAAACATAAAAGAAATTAAAACACAAAAAAACACAAATTAAAAAAATAGTTAAAATAAGATTATAATGAAAGCGAGCGACGATTGAATGGTTAATAACAACAATATAGATAACAATAGCCTCTAATTGGTTGTCGATTGGTTGCAACGGTGAGACTCACCACAGATGGTCTGATCCCTCAAAATGGTGGACAAGTAAGTAGTTTGCATTGAGTTGAAGCCGTTGATGACAGCGCTGGGCAACTGCTCGTAAGTCATTGGCGTCCACTTGCGGTCGAGTGGTTGGGCGATGTCTTCGATCACTTTGGTCTGCAAGTGTTGGGGCGCGTCGTCCAAGAAGTAGGTGAGGCGTCGGTCGAAGTAGTCGTCGTAATAGCCCTCGTCCTCAGCGATAGGAGAGTGTAATAAAGAGATGCAACACAAGGGGAACGAGAAGTGCTGCAGAGATGAGCCCCGGAGTCGTGTTATTGCTATGAGGTCTGCGTCACAGACTTCGTAACCTGTATTGGAGACAATGTGTGAGTGAGTGAGAGTGAGTGAGTGCTCGCAAACAAATGCATCCATCGATGGCATGCTTACCAATAATGGTGAGGCTGTGGAGCCGTTTGCACCTCCAGGCGAGCATTACTAATGGGTTTTCCTGGAGCTCTGCGAACACTGGACTCGCCTCTAATGTCGTCCCTTTCAATGCGTTGACCAGAGTTACCGACAGTAATGTCTTCGAGTGTCTGTTGGCCACCAAATTGACTAAATGGCAGATCGAGTCATCGCTGTCACCGAATGGGCCCACGAAATAGGCCCTGAAGTGAGCCAAAGGCATGTCTGTGTCCAACAGCGAGTCTCGCAATACAGTCATCGAGTCGTCTGTATGGATGAGATTGAGTGTGACTTTGAGGTTAGGGTTGCTTTTGGCCAATAGATCCCACGAAGACTTGGAGAGGCCTTCGTGTTCGTCGTCTATCCCGTGAACGTTAACCACAAACGTATCGATAGTCGCCTTCCCGGCCATCAATCGCAGCATTCGGTCGTTCACTGAATCGAAGTCAATGGACACGACTCTGAGACTCGCAAACGGTTCCAAGAGTTGGACCGACAGATCGAGCACTGGATAGAAGTCGGGATCCGTTTTGACTGAAGACAAGTGGAGACATTTGAGAGACGATGAGTGGTGTTTGGCTAACGTTGAGAGCAATCGGTTCGAGTGGTTGAGCACTGGTTGCAGACAACCAAACGAGATGTGATCCAAAGGGCCACACAGTGTCAGCAACTGATCCAAGCGCTGTACCAATTGCTGCCACCGTTGGTACAGTCGGGCGCTGTTCTCGTTGGTCACGTCCTCCACACCTTTGGACACATCGATGGGGTCGAGAGTCAGGCGCCGCAGACATCGACTGTTGTGCAGCCATTGGTTGTCATTGATTGGGCTATTGTTGATGTTTTGGTTGCTATTCGTGTCGTTGGATAACATGATGTCCAACACATCTCGCAGGTGGTCGAGACTGACGGTCGAGTTGGGGTCGAAAGTGATGACCACGTCTTGTAGAAAACGACAGCATTTGCGAAGAAAGCACTTCAAGGCTGGCGTCGAGTCATGCGATGAGTGCTTATTGCGTCTCAAGTGGTCACCACTCGTGCGACACAAGTCCACCACAAGTGTCTTATGCGGCCATTGCGATGGTGTGAACAGACACTGTCTCCATGTCCTACACGTGGCCGACGCTCTCAAGCGGTCTGATGGCGACAAATACGACAATATGTTGAAGACTATCACTGATGGCAAGTAATTGCAGACAAACGCCATTAGATGCGAACCAAACATACAGTCAATGCATTCAACGCACTGTTCAGCAATCCATGCAAACACACAAACATCAGACACGTGACCAATGCAGTCAACACTACGCCCCACATATAGTACGTGTCATTCACTCACACTCTGCACGTCATCACTGAATGACTCATTGAAGTGATTTGAGTTTCATGTAAATGACAACAAATCCAACAAATTGTGTCCATTTGTCTACTGATTGTCACTAATTGTCACTAATTGGGTCCAATTGGTCTAACCTCACACTACAGTCACCATCACCTCATCCAACGATCATCACTGCAATGGTTCTGTCAATCTATGGTCTTCTCGAGACATCTCTTCTCATAGTCAATGCAATCGTTGTCTTAAATGAAGAGAGATTTCTGTCGAAAAGTATTGATATTTGTTTGCATTTGTGATGAATGTGTCATTCAATTGATCCCAATGTCTGTATGTCTTTCTGTCAGTCGGATGGGGTCGGCATTCCCTGAATGCGGCGCAACACACGTATGGCCAACATATGGATAACTCCGTCAAATCACAACTTCTTAATATGATTCACTCCATCAGGACTGTCATGAGAGGTATGCCATCCATGTTTCATAACTGACCACCAATTATATTAACACCAATTCATTTGTCGAGCAGTTCCCCTCATTTTCGTCAATATTATCGTTATTGTAATTAAACTTATTTTTGGTTAAACTTTGTATCCATTTATGAATTGTATAAATGTATTGATTTATTAAATCTTTATATATTTAAGACCATTTGCATTACATTTATTGAATTTATGAATAAATGAGTAGACATTAGCGGCTCAATTGAACTGCAATTTTAAGTTTTCAAATGTTTGATTACTGCATAAATCAATTGATTTGAAACTAAATCATGATATTTTATACAAGTTTATAATATCTATGGGTTTTATGCAATAAATATGCAATTTAATTTTGCTACTCTACTAATGTTTTATTTTTAGTAACTTGCAATATATAATTGAATAGCATAGCAAACAATCAGTAAAATCAGATCAATACAATAAAAGTAAAGAATAAAACAATGTATAAAATGTGTTAATATAAGGTATAGTAAATAGAAAAATCGGTGATTGAATGCATTGATGAATCGGTTCATTGTGTCGATTGTTGACTCGTAATCCCGTTGTGATGAACCCAATTGAGAACATTTAGTTTAAACGAGTTGGCGGTGAATAAGACATTTGGGATCCATCTGGTAGTCAACTGGTCGTACATTCGGCGCCGCATTTTGTCGGACAGGTGTGACATCCGCACCACAAGCGTCTGACCCTCCGATTTATCGGTTGGCTTTTCATTGGGAGCAGCGGGCAGGTAGTGGTCGACAGCGTTGTGGGTCAAGTCGATGGCGGTGTCAATGGATTTAACGAAGACACGGATGTACGGCGAGTCCAGTATACCATTTACTTTAGTGAAGCCGTAATCTCTGATCCCATGTAGGGTATCGGTGCTGTACTTCCGCACCCCTTCAATGCGTCCGACACTTCCTTCGAATAGTTTCTTAGTTTCATCTCTTATCTGAAGATCAACTCTATTAGTCATGAAAAATGTTTTTTTTTAACTTTACCTCATCAGTAGATTTCTTGAGCGCCGGTACTTTTTCTTCGAGTTTGTCCAGTCCTTGACAGGCGATGTTATCGGCGTATGAGACTGTTTAACACATATACAGACATTAGATTATAGGAATACTTATGCGAGTTTGGGTCCATTACTAGGCTTTTCGAGCTTCTGAACGATAGGCTTAGCCGTTGACGCCATGAAGAGGATAGACTGTTCGGCTTTGGAGAGCGTCGCCGACAATAACTTGTTGTAACTCTTGAATCGTGAATATCCATCGGTGGCTAACCCTATGGCAGAGTTGACGAGTGGCAGCGATGAGAACCGCGATAACGCCTCGATCTTTATGGGACTCGAAGTGTTTGACATGACTTAAGAGCGAAGTAAAAGTTTTACAAAACTAATAAATTGAAATATTAAAACTTGTAAAATAGTGTATAACTAATGAAACAGAATGTAGGCCTGACAAGAATAAAAGAGATTGAAAATGTTGCGGGACTATCGCTTTTATAGTAGCGATTTGAGATATTTGTGAGTAAATGCAAACCAACGGACTTTGAACAGTCTTTGATCAGTCGAGTCAGTGAATGAATGAATGGCACCACAATCAATAGACTTGAGTTCAAATTCTAAGTTTCATTTCATGTTAACACAAGCTATTGGTTTGCATTTAATGGTCAACTTCATATGTGTTCAATCAATTTAATGATGGAAATTAATTTGAATAATAGGCAAACAATTATTTGACATTTCAATTGCTGTTTAATTCCATACAATTATCAATACAATCTATTAATAGTCAAATGTGTACAAGGATATTATTGTTCACGGTTTCATAAAACTTAGAAAAAGTTGTTAGTGAAAGAGTTGAGAATAGTTTTGGACTCATTTGTACTAATAAACAGAATTTCCAGAATTGAATTCAATATTTCCATGACTCATACTAAAGTCCAAAAACAGATCCGGATTAGAGAAATATAAATATATTAAAATATGATGTCATTTATTTGAAATTTTCGAGTCAAATATTTGATTTTTGTTTTAATAACATACTTCTAAACTGGTGTAATTGACTTATTATGAATTTTTAAAATCAACTTAAATCTTACCTCTAGTCAAACGAATGACAAATTGTGAATCTAATCACAACTTTGAGAACAATATTAGACTTAAAGTTAAATACAATATGTTTTGTTTAAAACAAGTTAGACTTGAGTGCATATATTGTGATTTGCAGTTAGTATTTGGACAAAATGTATGGTTTTTTCCATAACCACTATTGAGTCGATCTGATGGAGTGGTTGTGTAGCGATTGGTCTCATTACAATCTATTAATAGTCAAATGTGTACAAGGATATTATTGTTCACGGTTTCATAAAACTTAGAAAAAGTTGTTAGTGAAAGAGTTGAGAATAGTTTTGGACTCATTTGTACTAATAAACAGAATTTGCAGAATTGAATTCAATATTTCCATGACTCATACTAAAGTCCAAAAACAGATCCGGATTAGAGAAATAAAAATATATTAAAATATGATGTCATTTATTTGAAATTATCGAGTCAAATATTTGATTTTTGTTTTAATAACGTACTTCTAAACTGGTGTAATTGACTTATTATGAATTTTTAAAATCAACTTAAATCTTACCTCTAGTCAAACGAATGACAAATTGTGAATCTAATCACAATATTAGACTTAAAGTTAAATACAATATGTTTTGCTTTAAAACAAGTTAGACTTGAGTGCATATATTGTGATTTGCAGTTAGTATTTGGACAAAATGTATGGTTTTTTCCATAACCACTATTGAGTCGATCTGATGGAGTGGTTGTGTAGCGATTGGTCTCATTTTAAAACAAGTTAGACTTGAGTGCATATATTGTGATTTGCAGTTAGTATTTGGACAAAATGTATGGTTTTTTCCATAACCACTATTGAGTCGATCTGATGGAGTGGTTGTGTAGCGATTGGTCTCATCTTTCAATGAATCAAAATATATCTTTAGTTGATTTGTGCCACTTTTACGCCCTCACAAGTACACTGTATCATACCGTACACTGTACAGCAATCATATTCATTTTTGAATATTCAATCAGCCCATGAATATACCGGTAATACTTTATGAAAAAGTAAGAATAATTATAAAGACTTATTCCAAATGAAAATCATTATTATCTAATTCTAAGATAAATTTCATTTGACAAGATTTTATACAATTATTTAACCCAAAACTATAGCATTATATTTTAAGATTTTATTATAATTTATCCTAATTAATATTTTATTTATTTATTATTTATTTATTTATTTCAAGAATTTGCTCTATTATCATTTTATAAATAAATTCAAATTGACTTTAAATTTTTGTTTTAAATTTAATTTATTTTGTTTTACACAAATTAGAGTGATTAGAAATAATGTGAAATAGAAATACTGTAGAAGTAATCTCTGCATAAACCTTAATATAATATAGTACAGTACAGTATTTTGTCAAAAATGTGACTTAATTTATTTTGTTTTACACAAATTAGAGTGATTAGAAATAATGTGAAATAGAAATACTGTAGAAGTAATCTCTGCATAAACCTTAATATAATATAGTACAGTACAGTATTTTGTCAAAAATGTGACCAAATATTACAAAAATATATTAACTTATCAAAGATTATATAATTTTGCAGTTTACTTAGAGACAGTTCAGAAGACTTGAAAGATATTATTGAATAACGTTTCAGGCCTTGAATTCTATGTTTTGACTGATATTTGACTGACAAATGCCTGGAAGCAAGTCCTTGTCAACTAATACTTATTTGTTAGGCGCTTACGGTATATATTTATGTGGAATTACAAAAATAATTAATCAACTGTATATTTTTATTCTCATTTGAATATATTTAGGTACCCAAGAACTTTGAATTGACAATTATGAAATATGTTTTGTACTTATAAAAGTTGTACTTATACTTGTACTTATACTAGTTACTTGTACTTTTGTACTTATGTTTTGTACTGTATTTATAAAAACATAAAATTTCATCACTTTCATAATTTACTTAAATGTCGTATTTATTTAAAATATTTGTTGAATTAATGATAAATAGCTATTTATGAATAGTGTTACCAAAATAGATATAATTATCATTTCATGAGAGGATGAAAGTTATATTTACTGCAATCCAATCGATTTAATAAAACAAATTTTGTTGTCTATTTTAAGAAATTCTATACAAAACTGCAAACCCAATAAAAATATAATCTTAAGATAAGTTATATTTTTTCTATTTACTATACCTTATATTAACACATTTTATACATTGTTTTATTCTTTACTTTTATTGTATTGATCTGATTTTACTGATTGTTTGCTATGCTATTCAATTATATATTGCAAGTTACTAAATAAAACATTAGTAGAGTAGCAAAATTAAATTGCATATTTATTGCATAAAACACCCAGATATTATAAACTTGTATAAAGTATACGATTTAGTTTCAAATCAATTGATTTGTATGCAGTAAACATTTGAAAACTTAAAATTGCAGTTAAATTGAGCTGCTAATGTCTACTCATTTATGATAAAATTTAATAAATGTAATGCAAATGGTCTTAATATATAGAAAGATTTAATAAATCAATACATTTATACAATTCATAAATGGATACAAAGTTTAACCAAAAAGAAGTTTAATTACAATAACGATAATATTGACGAAAATGAGGGGAACTGCGAGACAAATGAATTGGTGTTAATATAATTAGCGGTCAGTTATGAACCATTGATGGCATACCTCTCATGACAGTCCTGATGGAGTGAATCATATTAAGAAGTTGTGATTTGACGGAGTTATCCATATGTTGGCCATACGTGTGTTGCGCCGCATTCAGGGAATGCCGACCCCATCCGACTGACAGAAAGACAGACAGAAAGACATACAGACATTGGGTTAGCAATCAATTGAATGACACATTCATCACAAATGCAAACAAATATCAATACTTTTCGACAGAAATCTCTCTTCATTTAAGATAACGATTGCATTCACTATGAGAAGAGATGTCTCGAGAAGACCATAGATTGACAGAACCATTGCAGTGATGATCGTTGGATGAGCTGATGGTGACTGTAGTGTGAGGTTAGACCAATTGGACCCAATTAGTGACAATTAGTGACAATTAGTGACAATCAGTTGACAAATGGACACAATTTGTTGGATTTGTTGTGATTTACATCAAACTCATGTCACTTCAATGAGTCATTCAGTGATGACGTGCAGAGTGTGAGTGAATGACACGTACTATATGTGAGGCGTAGTGTTGACTGCATTGGTCACGTGTCTGATGTTTGTGTGTTTGCATGGATTGCTGAACAGTGCGTTGAATGCATAGACTTTATGTTTGGTTCGCATCTAATGGCGTTTGTCTGCAATTACTTGCCATCAGTGATAGTCTTCAACATATTGTCGTATTTGTCGCCATCAGACCGGTTGAGAGCGTCGGCCACGTGTAGGACATGGAGACAGTGTCTGTTCACACCATCGCAATGGCCGCATAAGACACTTGTGGTGGACTTGTGTCGCACGAGTGGTGACCACTTGAGACGCAATAAGCACT